GGAAGCCTGCTTCTCCCTCTCCCACTCCCCCTGCTTGTGTTCCCTCTCTCACTGTGTCTCTCTCTGTCAGATAAATAAATAAAATCTTTAAAAAACGAAACAAAAAACAAAACAAAACAAAAACACTACAGAACAGGGGCGCCTGGGTGGCTCAGTGGGTTAATCGGCTGCCTTCAGCTCAGGTCATGATCCCAGGGTCCTGGGATCGAGCCCCACGTCGGGCTCCCCGTTCCATGGAGAGCCTGCTTTTCCCTCTCCTTCTGCCTGCCACTCTGCCTACTTGTGCTCTCTATCTCTCTGTCAAATAAATAAATAAAATCTTAAAAAAAAAACCACTATAGAACAATCACTTCAGGCAATACAATGAATAGTTATGTATTATCACTAATAAATCACATTTTCAAATGATGCAACTATGTAGAATCATTAGATAAATGAGTCCCCTTATCAATGAAGATTCTTGACACATTTCCTCTAAAACATGAAGTTTCTATTTCACACAAATCCTATGTGATTGCAAAGACATCTAAATGCTTTTAAGTATACAGTTTGTGTCAAATAAATGTAATTTCCGTATCTACCCAAAATATTGTACCCCGAAGGGATAGGAATTTTAGTCACTCAAATGTTCCTGCCCACATTCAAAGCCCACCTACAAAAATGTAATTGACAAATGTGCTGGCTGGCTTTTTTCTACCCCAGTGTGTAATGGAAATGATCAAAAAGCAAGCAGCCAAATGAAAAACAGAAAGACAGATCCCAGTTAAACCTAAATTAGTGAGCTTACCATTTCTTCACAAAACAAAACAAAACCCATGTATCTTATAAACCACTAATATTCCAGGTAACATGGCTTTGGAATATATTCCTTTATGAAATCACAGTACTCATACCCAGCTATATGAAAAAAAAATATTTTAAAAACTGGCAGCTCATCTAAAATACAGTTACTCACTGTCCATAGGCCCATTTCACCATAAAATACTCGTTTGCTAAAAGTGTAACTCAACAGATCATACCTGATGGTAATTTCTGCTTCATCCCATTGGACCTTGGCAGACGTGCTGCCCTCTTTGACCACTCCCAGCAGCGTGGCATGGCGCCCAGTTTGCTTGTGAACACACCGACCTCCAACTCTAAGACCAGCATCAACTCCTCCTATCACTGCCAGCACAGGCCACACCTCTATGCAAAGGGTCCTCAGCTGCGGCTCTGAGAGGTCAGCAAGGCCATGTCTATTATGTTTACCTTTCTCTTCCTCTTTGCTCTCCTTCTCCTCTCTCATTTCATTTTCCTCTCGGCTTTGAACCGAGCGGCTTTTCTTTAGCTTCTGACCTGACTCTTTAATACATATCTTAATTTTATGCAGCCTTTCCATCATTTTTCTGTTAATGCAGTAAGTCCAACGGTCTGTTCGGTGAAGGATACGGATAAGCTGAATAGTGGCCTCCGCCAGCACTGCTGCTACTGGACTACAAATAGGGTCTCCTGGAAGTAAGTCTCGCGGTGTGCCACGCATTTGCATATCACAAATTTTCACCTAGAAGGAAAAAAGCCAGGAAATGTGTGACAGTAATAGTTCTCCTAAACTACTAGTCACTATAAAGTCTAGCACATGTAATCCCATGTTGAACTTGTGTTTGGTCTCCTAATAATAGGTATATTATACCATTGGCTGCTGATAAGGAGTGAACAAATATTACAAATTTATTGTTAGTAGCAATATGGTCCTCTGAAACAAGCTGCCCTGTCATTTAAACTTCCTCCTACAGTCTGTGAGTATCAGAGTTATTGTGGCCACCCAAAAGATGGGTTTAAACCAAGGTGTATGTGACTGATTCCACTTACTCCAAAAAAAAAAAAAAAGCCTTGAGAATCTATTCACTCTCATCCTTAACACAAGTCCTGAGGCCATCTTATACTGTTCAATGGGCACAAAGATAAAAATTATAAGTCTAGATAATTGGGGTATTTCCAATCCACACATTTCAAATAAGACCCTGAGGTTAAAAGAAGAGCAAGACTTGGGTTCAAATCTTAACTCTGAATAGTCTTGGGAAATTATTTAATCTCACTAACCTCAGCTTTTTCATCTGAAAAAAATTGCACAAATAATATCTGTGTCTTATGGTTATTTTATTATATTTAT